ATAATTGTGGGGGAAAAAAGAAAAAGAAAAAAAGGAAAAAGAAAACAAACCCGAAACTTCTCCTATCCGAACGCTCTAAGAAGTTAGCAATTAGCTACAAAAATCCCTGCGTGAGCTAATGAGTTGATCAGTGAGGAACACATGCACTGTCCTTCCTTCTCCTTTTTTTTCCTTCCGGCTTTTTTTTTTCCTCCTTTTTCCTCCTTTTTGTTTCTTTTTTTTCTTTTTTTTTCTTTTTTTTCTTTTTTTCTACGAAAACGTCTCTATTCATTTGCTCACAATGTACCAAAACTCTGATCGCGACGCTTTGCCACACAGTACGCAAAGAAGGGAACCCCCTCGCTCGGATACGGCGGGCTCTGTAACTATCGGCGTTGCCAATAGATGGCACAGTGGCCTTTTCCTTGCTCGGAAGCTCCCGCTCCCCGCTTATTTACCTCGCTTGTTTGTTTGGCTCGCAGCAAGTTTTTTGACGCATAAACGTCTCTTTGCGTTTCCTTCCCCGGGGTACAGAAACCCTAGGTATCTTTACAAAGGTATATTGCAAAAATTAAAATTACAGATGTAATACATACTGTGAAACCTATAAAAATGCGTTTACAATGGTTACTTAAAAAAGAAATTTATAACTTTCATATGTACCTTACTCGCGCAATATGCAACTGCCATATGTTTCCTAGTGCCATAATTCAGTTTTTCCTGGACAGCTGGAGCAGGTAGGACTTCTGAAAGTACATTTCGTGTAATATGAGAACCGGCCCCGACTAAAGACCGAGGGCTGCCATAAAAAGACACAACCCTCGCTTAACAAACGCTGTTTAACTACACACCGTTTCTTACAATGGTTCGATATAAACGTTCCCGTAGCCCCGCGTTATGACAAAACGGGGATATGCTGATTCTTTTTACTGCTGAAATCCCAGCCTCGCAAACATAAATATTTCCAATTAGTGGCTCTACTCTAAACTACGGTGATTTAAAGCTACCTAATTCAATTTAATTCCATACACGTTTTCATATTTTTCCTGAGACAATAGTGAAAATAAGAGTTAAATTTATAGGAAAGCAATAAAGAAGTAAAGCCACAGGTTTCTTCAGCCCTCATTTAGCGTTTGCAAAGTTTTATTTTGAGACTGCGGCCATGAAAAGGTTCTTTTTAAAAATCGTTTGTCTGAAACGAGCAATGAATGTAAGTGGGAGAGTCATATTAAGGGCTGGAGATTTTCTTCAAAATGATTCATGTTCGTGGCTGCATAATTCCGAATTAAGGTAGTAATTTAAACGCTATAAAGCACGAGCACCAGAATATCTACAATTTTAACACGGGTGCGTTTGAACTGTGTTTTCAATTCCTTCATGCAATTCCTCAGCATTTTCACCCGTCTGGAAAGCCGAGAGGTCGGCTGCACGTTTATTTCCGTACGCTGATTTTATTTACCCTTCAGCAGCAGGAGAGCGAATGTTTCTTTCCGCAGTTTTAAAACGAGACCTGAGGCTGCGGGGCAGCGGCCGGTAGAGGCGGGAGGCCGAGGGGCTCGGCGGAGAGGGCAGGGAAAGGCCGTCCGCCCTCGCGCCGGGCGCGACGCGCAGCTGCCGCCGGACAGGGCGCGACGTCGGCGGGCAGAGCGGGCCGGCCGCGACCCGTTCGCCCGCTCCGCACCGGCCTCCCCGGCTGAAGTCGGGGCAACGTGTTCCAGCAGCACCGAGATGCCCTCCTCTAACCTCGCTCACGGAGTCTGTGTGAGGGCCACCGTCACGCCGCGGTGGCAGCACTCCCGGCACGTTGGGCTTGGCTTGGGGGTGACAAGGGATGCCCGCACAATTGCTCCCCGCAGCCCCAGGATAACCCTGGGGTCACCGCAGGAGACTCTGGGCTTCGTGAGCGGTGAGAGCGATGAGGTTTGAGGTTTTCCTCGGACCCCCCGCCCCCCCCGGCCTGGTTCCCAATTCTAGGCTCCCGGACTGGGAGCAGCGGCTTTAGGAGCCTGGGGTCGGGCCGCAGATTTTAGGATGCCCTCCAGGTGCAGAAAGCGGCGGGGGAGGGCCGGGCCCCGGGACGAGCAGCGGGGGCTGCGCGGGCCTGAAGCCACCGCAGCGCTGGGTGAAGCCGCACGGTGCGCGCCCGCGGAAGGTGATGAACGTTCGTAGCAACGAGGAGCCCCGCGGCCGCTCCGGCCGGATTTTAGCCCCTCTAGGAGGCGGCTGGGGACTGTGGTACCCCGCACGTCCGGCGTCGCGGAATGGCTTCAGTTCAGTCAGAGCCACTCTTAACTTTATCTCTGGTCTGTTGGGACAGAGAGCTGCAGCTCCTTGAGAGCCACTCCAGGTTCTCTGCTCATCCCGGCAATGGGAAATCTGAGGTGCTAATTCAGCCCCATTCCTTCCTCTCACCGGCTACGGGTGAGAAACGGGCAGAGGTGCGCTCGGGACGCACAAAAACGCGATTTGCTCGCGAATCTCTCGCTACCTTCTCACTGTACTCGCTGTACTTTCTCACTGTGTTTGGCTGAGCGGCCCCGTCAGCTGCCCGCTGCTGTCAGTGAGAAACGATTGAGCTCACTGGGGAAAAAATGGATAATGATATAAATACGTTTTCCTCAGTGACCGCTCCTCCGCTCCCCTGCTGGGAAGTTACAGCACACGGGGCTTTAAAAGAGCGAAGCGCTCCGCGAACATTCTGTCCCTCTCCGAGTAACGCTCGGAAACATTTGCAGAAATCTCACTGCGAACGACGATGCACGGCCGTAAGGATCTCCTAAACAGCACCCGACATTCTCGAAGGCAGAAGAGGAAAATAAGTATCTTTAGGGCGAAAAACGGCTTCAACATGTTTTTATTTTCGAAAGCCGCGATGTGCGGCTTTCCTGTATCAAAGGCGCAGCGCCTCACCCGAGTGTCCGCAGAGCCGCACCGCATGTCACCGTCCGGGAAGAAAAGTAACCCCGGAAAGGTGCTTTGAATATATGCATTATTCCATCATTAGATTGCTGGATAGAAAGATTCTTCTCTCTTTCAGCATCCCGTAGGAAAAAAAAAAAAGTCTCACAGACATATGGAGCGCACGTTGTTTGGTATATTTAATTTTATCCCGTTTGGGTTTGTTTAAAAAAAAAAAAAGAGAGAGAGAAGAAGAAGAACAACAACAAAAAACAAACATAAAAAAAACCAACAAAAAACCTAACAATAACAACAACAACAACAAAAAAAGTCAAGAAATGAAAACAACGCCACACTGAATCTACAGAATTCTGTCTAGAAAAAGATAACCCAACAGCAGCCAGCGCCCAGCCTCCCGGCATCACCACTACCAACGCGAAATAAGGTGATGCGGCCATTCTGCGTGATGCAACCCGCAGGGCCCGGCTCCCCCCGCGGCCATCCCGCCGTTCCCGCTGTCCCCGCAGCTCCCGGAGGGGTCCCGACCCCCACCTCCCCCTCCGTTCCTCCGCGCCGGGCCCCTACCTGCTCCGCCGGCCCCGCCGGTGCTGCAGCAGCGGAGGAGCGGAGCCGCGGAAGGCGCCGTCGGAGCTCGGCGGGCGGGCGGCTCGCGGAGCGCCCTGGGGCAGCCCGGAGCCATTTCCTTCCTACCTCCCCCTATCGATCCCAGCCCCAGCGCGAGGGCGGTTCAGCTCCTGCGGGATCCTCGAGCTTAACACGCTCCGACCCCTCTAGCACATGTGATTTCCTTCGGATTCGGTTGCGGCGGGGCCGAGCAGCTCAGACAGGCTTCAGCCCGCGGTGCGGTGAATGCGTCCCGGACGGAGAACGCAGCGAGAGAACCCCGCGGCACCGGGAGCTCCCCGCAGCCCCACCGACCCGCAGTGGGATTTTGTCGGGGTGTAAGGCACAATCCTTCCACCGTGGTGGAGGGATTTTTTTTTTTTTTTTCTTTAATCGATTATCGATCTGACACTCCCTCGCGCTTCGAAAGAGATGTAAACAATTTAATCGCCGGTAACGCTACGTGAGGTAACTCATCTCTGAGTGTGTTTAGCACTCAGCCCTTCCCCGACGAAGCAGCCCATCCGCTATTGAAACGGGGCACACACCGCGCACTGGGGATAGGTGAAACCCTACAGTACATTTCACGGCTCCTTCTCCCCGGGGTGCCATCACCGGATCCCGTTCCGCAGCCCGGAAACAAACGAATTAAACCCCCAAATTCAAACACTCAAAGAGGAACGAAGGGAAACAAAACAAAGATCCCAATAGCTTTTCCCTGGGAACGCACGGCAAAGAGTGACTGCCCCAGATCTGCAGCTTTCCATCGTGTTGCTCACGGGAAGGATTTCGGAAAGGCTTTCCCCGTGCATACGCCGTGCACCTGAATGTGGCCGGTGGTTACGTCCAACGATCGGCGTCGGAGCGGCTGCGCCCAAACCCCTTTCGCAGCACCGCGACGGACCCCCGACAGCCGAGCGGCGCTCCGACCCCCCCCATCCCGAACCGGGCCCGAACGGAACGAAGTCCCGCGGCAGACCCCCCCCGCCCTTCCCGTTGCGGGGGTCGCTCCCGTTAACCCCCACCGCAGGGTGCGGCGATGCCGGCCGGGCCCCCCCCTCTCTGCTCGCCGCCGCGGGGCCCCGCTCGGGCCGGGCCGGGCCGGGGCGGTGTTGCGGCGCTGATTGGGCAGCGGGCGGCCGTGCGGGCTCAGCCCCCGCCCCGCGGCCCCGCCCGGCCCCTCCGCCCCGCGGCACTAATGAGCGGTCCGTCCCCGCGCTCTCCTGCCTGGAAGTGCTGACAGATCAAGGCAACAAATTTCAATTACAAGCCCTAATTTGTGTCCGCAGAGCGTTTGTTACCCATGTCAGTCCTGTTGGGCCCATCAGACGGGGCAGAGCGAGGAGGAGGAGGAGAAGGAGGAGGAGGGGGAGAAAAAGGGAGCATCTGCAAAAAGGAATAGAGTTTTTTTTTTTTTTTTCCTCCCCTTGAAAAAAAAAAAAAAGAAAAAAAAAAAAACTTGGCTGATAACTCGGATTTAAAAAGAAAGGCGAGGAAAAGCCCCGGCCCCAGCCGGCGCGGTCGGGAGGACGGGCGGGCGGCGCTGGCTGCAGGGGGGGCATGGCCGACAAGCGGCGGGCCTCGCCCGGCACCACCATGAGCCTGAAGGCTCACGCCTTCTCGGTGGAGGCGCTCATCGGGGCCGAGAAGCAGCAGCCGCCCGCGCCGCCCCCACGGCAGCCCAAGCGGCGGAAGGTGGGCGGCGAGGACGAGGCGGCGGACGACGAAGGGGGCAGCGGCTGCTGCGCCGGGAGCCCGGCGGCCACCAGCGGCAGGAACGGCGGCGACATGGAGCCGGGCTGCGCCCGCGGGCCCGCCGGTGAGTGCCGCCCCGGCCCGGGGAGGGGACGGGGAGCGGCGGGGAGGGGGAGAAGTTCGTAACGTTTGCGTGCGGGATGCGCGCGGCTATCGGTATCTCTCTGCATAACGCGTACGTACGCGCGCGGAGGGCTGAGCGAAACGCACCCGAACGAAAGTCGCGCGACGGAGCGTCCGGCGCGGCCCCGGCCCTTTGGCTTCCTCTCCTCTCCGCTCTCTCCGCAGGCGCCGAGGAGGGTTTCGCGGCGGCGTCCCCGCCCGCCTCGCCCGGTGGCGGCTCCCCGAAGGGCTCCGGGCCCGCCTCGCCTCTGCCCGCGCCCCAGGCGCCGCGCGTTGAACTGCAGGGCGCCGAGCTCTGGAAGCGCTTCCACGAGATCGGCACCGAGATGATCATCACCAAGGCGGGCAGGTAACGGCACCCGGACAGCCGAGTAGCCCGGGCCGAGCCGGGGCGTCTCCGCGGGCGGGATTGCGCCGAGGAAGTGGATGTACGGCGCAGGGAGACGGCCCCGGCTGTAGGCACCCCGCTCGTTGGGGTGAGGTCTGCGCGCTGTGCCCTTCGGAGGGGAAACTTTTCCCCTTCCCAGTGCGTACAGATGGCCAAAACCTGGATAGTATAAGCGGATCTGAACTTATTAGAAATTACAAAAACATATTTTATTGGATCCATATGCTACCTTCTTAGTGTTCAGAGGGGCTCTATTAATGATGGAAACGCAGTCTTAAGCAGCACAAAGCAACATTTGTCTTAGGAAGCCCGGGCAGGGGGCTCTTTTGTACCTTACAGGTGCATCACAACGGCAGCGTGCTGCCCGATGGTGGGCAGTTACCCTCGGGGTTTTCAGAAATAAAAGACATGGGGCTTTCCTTTCCAGTAATGACTTTTAATTGAGTGGGTTTTTTTTTTCTTAAAGAGCCGCAAATAATAAATCAGAAGGGCTTTCGGGCTGATAGGGCTCATACAAGTCATTCCCTTTGCTTGTAGTCAGCGCAGTGTTGCAATGTTTTCTTTGTTAGCATCAAGAATGAACTTTCTTGATAAAAGTCGTGCCAAGCACAGGCTGAAATAAGAAATGCGTTTTTATACTGAAACGACAACACCAGGTAATTACTCCATTTTCTCTCCAGAAGGATGTGGATTGCAAATGTATTTTTTTCAGAGTTGCCCGACGCCCGTTTCTGCTTCCAATAAAGAAGTTTTACTGTACCTCTCAAAGGCAGAGCAGCCGTTGCGCTTTACCTTAGCAGGCTGCAGACAGGAAGTCCGTCTCAATAAAGACCATATTGTTCGGTTATGGCATAGCACATTGGGCTTATAACTGCATCCTCACAGCATTCGGGCTGTGTCACCGCAGACCCAGCTTTGCGATGTGCTGAGGTCCAGTGCGCCGTTTGCTGCTGTCAGTTGGCACAACTGGCAGTTTGTGCTGCTTTGAGCAGCGGTGCTCCAGAAATACATTTCTAGCTAACGGGCTTCGAGTGTGCGCAATGCTGAAGTGCAGCCTCAAAACAAAATGATTTACTGTCTAACAATAAAGCTGAAATGATGTGGTAATAGTTGTACTCCCAAAGCGTATCCCAAAACATACGGAGCATTGTTCAAGTGAATGCACTTCTGAAATCTGTTTTGACATATCGAATGGGCCGTTTCATGGCTGTGTAACTGGAATCGGCAGAAAGGACTCAGTGGGCTAAAGGGAAGAACGAGGAAAATCCCACGAAGCAGTTCCTTGTCCTAAACAGCCCTTCCCCACTCTGTTTCGCATTAAAAGTGACCTTTCTCTTTCCATGTTCAGGCGGATGTTTCCCGCAATGAGAGTGAAGATCTCAGGGTTAGACCCCCATCAGCAGTATTACATCGCCATGGATATTGTGCCAGTGGATAACAAAAGATACAGGTACGGTAGCTTTCAGGTAGAAGATCTATGATGTGCGCCATGGGGATCCTAGCTATTGCAAGGCAATATTAACAGCATATAAATTAGCAGAAGGTGGTGTTCAGCTCTCCTTCAGATTCCTGTTGTCAAACTGGGATGTTAAAAAAAAAAAAAAAAAACAGTGTGCCAAGTATGCAGAATTAACTGGAGTGTTGCTGGAGCTCTGCGTACCTTTGGCTCATGCTGTACGTGTGCTGTGGGCAAGCACTCCATCCTTTGCTTTCGCAGTTAGTGCTTGTGGTACAGTTATCCTGTTCTCCTGTGTTATTCCTCACCATGTCACTGGGAATTATTTCCTGTTAACACACAGATAGGAAAATGCTCCATTTTCTAGCGTTAAATGGCAATAACAAGAAAACATTCTAGCATTAACCTCTGACTGAATGGCGATAGAATGTCATGCGCACGAGCTTTCTTGGTCGTGCTTCAAAGTGATTCTTTCATTTACTTCAGTAGCAGCTTATCTCTAAAATATTTGTCTGCTTAGATTCACAAACAGTAGTGTTTCTAATTACTATTAAAAATAAATAAATAAATGGCATAGTTGTCTGAAATATAATGTGATGAACAAAAGTAGTTGTTCTTCCAGCATTTGAGAGTAGGAGCGATGTACTAAAGCTCTGACTGCTGCAAAGGCAGCTGTAGTTCCAGGGAGCGTGTTGGGCTGTGTTGAAGCCCTGCTCCTGTAGCAATGGTAGCAGGATCAGGCCCTGTGATCACTGTGACCTGGGGACATTTGTGTGTTGTGCTTTACAAACGTGCTCCCACTCTCCGTGCAGCCAAGTGGTTCAGTGGAGGCAGGAGTGGGCCCCTGCCAATGCTGTTTTGATTGTTTCAACCCCATACTTAGTGTAATTTATGGGGAACCACTGCCGATTTAATTGTAGAAGTCAGAATATTTCAGACTAAGACTAAAAGGTTGGTTCGTCAGGAATGCCTCCTTGTTTCCTAAACAAACAGCACCCTATGTTTTTTGCATGTCCTTACCTCACTGACTGTAATTTGGCCCTTTTCTCATGCAGTATGTAAGCAGTTTCTTACTACTGCTTTTGATTTTGTTTTTCAGCAAGGTGCAGGTAGAAATGCTGAGCGTATCCAGTGCACAACACTTTTCTGGCTGTGTCGTAGGGGACAAATGGCTTTTCTGTTTTTTTCCTTCCCTTGGAACAGAGCGGTGCAGCTGAAATAAAACTTAGTGTTGCATTTACTTAGTGATCTAAGGATCTCCTTCCTAGAAGGTCTGAGCACCTTCTTAATTCAGAGGAAGAGAAGCTAAATAGATCAAAATGAACAAAAACGTTCATATTAAAAAAGGTGACGCTGAGTATGAGTTGTTTAGAGTGAACTGTGTTTAAAATAAATACTTTCATGCTGGTCTGCACTGTCTGCACAATGGGGTATGTGGTCCCCAGATAAGTGAAGTAACTTAATGTTGTGCGCTGGGCAGTATTTTTGTAGTCGGCAAACTTAAATTTCTGCAATCACATTTGAGTACCATGTCTTTAGTTTTCCTATTGGATGTTACTGTTTTTCTTGATTCCCATTCTCGTTGTTTGGTATGCAGTCTATACATTCATCTATTTCTGCCTTATTTAACTTGTGCTGCTCATATGGCTTTGAAAGCCGATTGTCTTGCAGATGCAATAGCAGCCTTACACTGAGCCTAGACTTCAGCTGTCATAGCAGATAGCAAAACTACACAGGAATGAAGGAAATTGAACCTAGGTCTATATTTCTAGCAAAATTGAACCTCATTGTAAGTATCAGGAAGCTTAAACTGTTGTCATAAACATAAAATACTCAGAATATTATTTAGTTTTGTGGGAAAAAAATATGTATGTTGTAAAACAACAAATATAAAATAAATGGTGAAATGTCACAACAGTTGACTGCGTGGTTTAGGATTGAGAACTTGTCTCCAGATAGGATCGGGGGGAGGATTTTACCGCTGTACTAGATTTTACTTTTACAGCTTGATAGGAGCTGTATGAAGGGATGTGTGCATTGGGTCATTTTAACTTCTGATCGTTGTTTAGCTTTTTCTACTTTGGAACCAAATTGTACAAACATATGATACTTTTTCATGAATTTTTTTTAAAAAATATGACTGATTCACAGGAATTTTACTGTAGTTGGAAAAAAAGACCTCAGCATTTTTATTTAGCGCTTTTTAAAATTGCCCTATGAAGTATCTGCCTTCAAAATAAGTTTTCCACCAAAGCAGGCGCTGCTTATATGAGAAAGATTTTGTCAGCACTGCCCTATCAAATGAAATACAAGCTGTGTTTTTTCATTTTCAAGCCTTTCTGTGATAGTATTCAGGCAAAATAAGATGGTCTTGCAGAAACATCTGGAGCATAGTTTGACATAGCTTCATTGTTTTTCCTGATCATAATGTTCTTTCCCTTCAGTATTTTTATTTACAGACTCAACATGTTAAATCTTCCAAATATGGAATTTCTACTTGATTTGATAAATGAAGGACCGTATTCTGCCCTGTTTGCTGATGCTTTTTTGGATTGGAGCTGTAGTAGTCAATGACTTGACACCAGCTTAAACCTCTGCATAGAGGCTAGCATAAAGGCTATTATGAGCTTTAGGAAGACTGATTTTTAATGAGAGCACAGTTTTTTAACCTTCCTCTGTCACATACCGGACCTGTCTTTCGGAACTAAAATAATCACATTTGTTTTGCTTTCATGCTAGTTAATTGATGGACTCTTGCTGTAGTTGTATGGACCTTAATGTGTTAATTCAGACTGGGTCTGATAAATAATTCCAGATTTTGTGGTGACAGATGTTTGCTTTCTTTTTGCAGGTACGTTTATCATAGCTCCAAGTGGATGGTGGCCGGCAACGCTGACTCCCCAGTTCCACCCCGTGTTTATATTCACCCCGATTCACCTGCGTCCGGGGAGACGTGGATGAGACAAGTGATCAGCTTTGACAAACTAAAGCTCACCAATAATGAACTTGACGATCAAGGGCATGTGAGTACTTGCTCTTTTACGGCATGATATGTAGATGCATTGCTCAGCCCTGCAGGACTCTGACATACAGCTTCAGGGTGCCAGAAATAGGCTTGACTTTTCAAAGCTGTTTTGGAACTTTACTGTCCAGATCTAAAATCTGCTTACTTTCTACTCTGATAATTAACTGCTTATTAGAGCCTGCTGTTTTACTCCCCCCTCAAAAATAAAACTCCTTCTGCAAAGTCAGACTTTACAAGGCTAAATTGCCTAATACGAAGGGGCAGTATTGCTCTCATGTTTTCCCACCAAGCGTGTTACTTGCAACTTCTGCTCTGATCAAAAAGTACGTTTAAATTCACAAGTGGCTAGGAGAAACATTAATAGCGTGTAATAACTTCATGTGAATAAAAATACACTTAACTATTTTCTTAACCTAAACATTTGTGTGAAATCCCATGAGGTGTTAATAATTGCAGTCAAAAACGAACAACATGGGAGCTGGGTTCACTCCGATAATGATTTATTGCATACCTTATGAAGCGAGACCCTTTCACAGCTGAGGCTCATTACTTCTGAAAAACTGGCGAAGACGTATGCAGTATGAGTGTTCTGTTTGCAAGTTCTAAATTGTTTAGTTATGACATTATCTAATGTGACAAAATGTGTTATGTTAATATTTCCTTTTCTCTTCAAAACTGTTGAAACATGACAGATGTAAGCCAGTATCTTTCCAGCAATCCCTAAAATAGTTTCATTTGACACCTTAGGAAATAATTAAAAAATGAGAATTGTTTTTAGTCAGAGCGAGGGCTTTAATTTTGGAAAAATCCAGTAATAAATCTCAAACGTAGGCTTACTTTCAAAAGGAGCATTGAATTCCAAGTGGTATAGTTTTGAGATCTAAGAGGCAAGTTTTGAGACAGGATGTGGATTCCATTGCCCTTAATGTAGTGCAGTTTATTAAGTAAGTGGGATGCTTTCCCCTTCACAGACGGGAGTGAGAGAAAACATACCTGGCACAGGGTGCAAAGATACTGCACGCATCTTCCAGTACAGTTGAACTCTGACATTTAGCCAAGTATTTAGTGAATGCATATTCTGAGTATGAAACTTGTTTCCCCATTTCTGCTTGCAAAGGAGATTGTCTTGAAACTGTGGTCAAATTGTGCATGAGTTTGAACTTTTAAGTTACATAGCCAGGAACATGGGAGACAGGCTAGACTGAGCGAACTTGAGTGATAGTGAGCATGAAGAGTCTCCCTGGCATGCAGTGCTGTTGATAATTGTGTTACCCGTATTCTTAGAGGAAGAGCATATTTATATCTTTTGAGTTAGCGGCACTTTTGTTCAAGATTGTAGAGAAGATATTGTGCATCGCTTGTTTCCAGAGTTGCAGTTAGGGAGTCTCAATTGGCAGCGTTTAAGTCTTCGCACAGATAGTCCTGTTAGTTTCGCAGTGACTGTGTATTTGTATCACCTTCCTTGGGTGAGAGTTGCATTCTCTGAGTCCAGGGTTTGTTGTAAAGTCTTCACAAACGGAAGCAGATGCGAATGGGTAGAATGTTGCTTCTCCAGTGGAGAGCTGGTCCTTGTACTCGGTGGTCGCCAAGCAGCAAAATATGGATGCAGGAGTCTACCCATGCATATGCAGCCGCGGAATACTCCATTATGAATTCTAGAGTAAATAGAAAATCACATTTTTATATGCTTCCATCCCAGATCTTAGCTTTATTTTTGTTCAGAACTGAAACCTGCATAGCTTACACAGCACGCTATTATTCATAATGCAAGAGGATATAAATTTTCTGGCCTTTAGTTAAGTGTTTCGATTTGAAAATGAGTGAAGCAAAGCTCTAGTGCAGTGATTTGGGACACATTGAACTGATTCAAAGCTACGGCAGTGCCCCTCCTCCTCAAAATGGAAATTTAAGTATTAAAATAAAAGGACAAAAGAAGGATGACTGCAAAATAATTTCATATTTCTTAAATCTGGGAAATTGCAAACATGTCATTCATAATTACCAGAAAAGGCAAAAGCAGAAAGCAGAAAAGTGTCTTTTCCAATGGGTACATATTTTCTTTTAAAGCTATGGCAGTGTGGAATGCTGTATTGAAAAAGCTATGTAGACTCCGAATGCCTCCAGCAACAATGGAAAACGAATAATCCTATTTTGTGATGAATATAAAAAAACAATTGTTTCTCATAAGCAGGAAGGAACCGTTTTTCTCAAGAGGTTACCAGAGGAGGAATGGTGGATTAGAGGAACTGGGGTCAAGCCCATACTGTCCTTAGAATATTTGTTTTTACATCAGGTGCTCTGACTCTCCCACCTCTATTGTGGGAGGTGGGGTGTGTTTAATGTTACTAGAAAGCTTTCTTTTTTCCCTCCTGCTTAAACAGAATGGCTCAGGAAGCCTCCATGGGTGCTCTGCACTCTGCCTTCCTTTCTCCAGTGGCACAAGCAGTATCGAGATTTAGCTGCTCTTTCGGTATACGTTCCATGCTGCCTGGTTCTGGGATTTCAATCCTTGCTGAAATCTTTCCTTTATTCTCTCTATGCTCCCTGAAGGTGTCAGTTTTTGCAGAGTGTTTGTGTTAAAATCCTAGGGCTTGGTTTTGACCTTGCACATGTGAATTTCCATTGAGGTCAGGAGTTTGTGTGAGCTCAACCCAGAGCCCTTTTACCGGAGCATTAACTCCCAGAGCCACTGACAGAAGTGACTCATGCTCATGGGAACGGTGGCTGTGTTTGCAAACAGATGCTCAGGTAGTATTTCTGTGTGGTATTTATATGGCGGTAGTAACTGACGGCAGCCAGCTTGCCTCGCGCTGCACGGGCCCTGCGGCAAATGGCCCCGTCGGCCTGGTGTTAGCTTCTTGTTCAGAGAATTGGCCATTTCTGAGGCAGCTCGCTTGGCTGCTCAGTCACTCTTTGGGCTTCTTGCTGCCTTCTGCTGTTTGCGTCAGTGTTTTGAGTGGGAGTTTGCGACGACAAGATTTTATAGTGCTGTTCCGTGGAGGGATTTTGAAGTACATCTGCACGTAGGACGTTCTGATACGTGAGTTCCCCTTGCAGGCTGAGGAGATCAAGCAGGATTTCTAAGGAGATGTTTTCCTGGTGTATTTTTGATCTCAGAAGAGAGGCCCAGAGAGAATTCCTACTTCGGAAAGATTGTGTGCCTATACAGATGTTAAAGCCAGATCAGATCATTGAGACACGTACAGTATGGCATTCTTGTCTTTTGTCTGAGTTGTTAAGATGTAAGTGAAAGAAAGTAAAGAAAAGTAAAGAAAGTAAAGAAAGAAAAGTAAATCTGTGCCTTGCAGCTGATGTTGAGATTGGGTCGCTCACGGTTGGGTGCTTTTTGTCTCGTGAGTTAGTGCCTCTTGCCTCCAGACTGGGGAATAACTGCTGTGTTATAAAATGGGTCTCTCTGTCTAATTTGAGTTGGGCAATTTTTCTGTTTTAATGCAGCTTTATGGCTGAATTTGAGCACAGGGCAAAAGCCACTATTTTGGTATTTTTTTCTGTGCTTTTCAACTAAATGCTTTATATGCTATAGAACATCTAACTTTGAGTGAAAATGAGGCTGTTAGTGTGTTAATTTTTCCACGGATGTTCAGTAGATTTTTTACCTCCTCAATTTGAAAGTGGGGTTAGGCTGGAGGCTGTGGTGGGATCTTGCCCTTCCTGCCTGTGGCATTGAGCACCAAGCTCTGCTTGCTGTCGTTGGGAACCTGTGGCTTGTCACGGTGAAAAGCTGGAAAATATCAGCACTTGCAGTTCCTCTTTGTGAGGAGAAAATTATTGTTCCACACATCTCCCTGACTGCATAAAGCCTAACTACATGGGCTTTGCTTGATAAAGAGAGATTTTTGGAGACCACAGCAGTGAGGTGAGGACAATGCCACCATGCCATAGAACTGAGCCCACTGATTCTGGCTGTGACAACTGTCTCATGGCAGCATCTGAGGTGAGAGCCAGCACTGAGGCCTCATTGTGGTATCTCCTTTCCATACACCTACTGTGAGGTGACTCTGGACAGATGAAGTTTTGTGTGTCTGTGAGTGCTGTGTCCGTTACTCCATGCTGCTTCCATATTGTTGTGGCCTTCACTCTGCAGGGCTCCTGCCTCCTCCTTGAGCCCAAGCCAATAGAAATATCAGGACAACCATGGGTCCAAGTGCCACAACTCTGAGGACTTGCACTGTCAGAGAGGTTTACTGTCCTGGGAAGTGATGGCATGGTGCCGGTGGGCAACATCCCTCTTGGCTCTCACTGTGCTGTTTGCCCACACCTACTGAGGAAAGGTGAAGGGCTTGAGTGTGAAGCCTTGATATGTGTGGGAAAGCATGGCTGCTTTATAGCAGTATGGGAGTGAAGTTTGTGTTTGATAAACAGGAATTTTGCTTGGTAAGTATTAGGGCATGTTAGAAAACAGCCCACTTGCTGTTGCTGCGTGCTTAGTGAAGCTGCCAACCCCTGAGTAAGGGGTAAAATGTTGCTGTTCTGTCTGGAGCAGCTCAGAAAAGAGCCTGAGACTTCCTCGTGACAAAACCTTTTCCTGTGCTTGTCCTGGGAGGGAGGAAGCCATACTTAGCGTCCCTTGGTTGTGGTGGTGTAGCTGTGTGGAAGGCTGGAGAGAGGGAGCCTCATGGCCTCAAGGCTCTGCTCTGTGTCCCGGCTGGGCTCAGCTCTGCACCAGGCTTTCAGAGTCTGCATAGTGTTACTGCTCTCCATGTGGTGTTCATCCCCCTTCTGCTGTGACTTTGCTTGTTCTGATACATGAACCAAGTTGTTCGTAGCTGCCTGGATTATCACTGCATAGAGGCAAGTGTGCATGCTCGGTTGTGCACGGGTAGATGGCAAGACACAGAATAGTGATGAACTCAAAGGCTGGAAAGGGGTTTTCTTGATGGATTTTTTTTCTGTTGCACCAGTATCTTCCTTGGTATCACTGGGTATTCACAGGAAAACAGGATCAAGATGCGTTACCCTCACTACATTTTCATTTTGTTGATCTTTGCCCGCACAGAACTGAAAGCATAGTTGTAAAAAGAATGCACACTTGCTTATGCAAGATTTCAGAACCTAGGAAAAGGCCTCTTATGAGAACATCCACTGGGCACTCCCTGAGCAAATTAATTGAAGCCTGTGATGTCATCATCAAAACCTTACATGCATGCTAATAAAAAACATGATTATCCAGAAACTTGGCGTATCTAAAACAGGGTCATGTCTTTTGGCCAGGACCAAGTGTATTAAACTAGCCAAACCCTAGTTTAGCCAAATGAATGCAGTGTCCTCTATGTCATTTGGATGAATGAGCTTCCATAGTATCTGGCATTCAGGCATAAAGGCTCTGTCAAGTGCTTGAGCACATACATATTCTGAGGCTACTCATGGAGCAGGAAATGAAAAAATTTCCCCTGAGTTTTGATTAGGGGTTGCACAGGCCAGTAGCCATAGGGCTACTTATTTATCAAGTTATTAATTTATTAGACCTTCCAAAAATAATAGCTGAGCTTCAGTTCTTTTTTTTTTTTTTTTTTTTTTTCTTGAAACCTTTTTGGTGTTTTTAGCTGGAAGCGGAATAGAAAAAATAGAGGAAAAAAAGATGTGTATATTAAATCTTCTCTAAAATTTGGGAACAATACCAAGAACTATTTTTGCTTAACTTTACTCACTATGAGTTCGTGTAGTCCTTGTTTATCCTTTATTCTTACTTGAGCTTTTATATGCTGGGAGGGATTTGGGTATTGATGTTCATTGTCTGTATAAGTATTACAAACCTAGGGTTATTAACACTTCAGAGTTCTGGGTTTTGGTGTTATTTTACTCTGCATTTCTGCTGGTTCAGAGTATGAGAGTCTCAGAATATGTTCAAAACAAGACACATTGCCAGCCTTCTGCATATCAGGAAGAAAAATGCTCTAAGCATGACCTGAGGGCTCTGAAAACAAACGGCAAATGCTGCTGTTGTTAATCGTGTTAGATCAAATCCAGGCTCAAGTGGGGGAAAAAAAAAAGCAGTGAAACTTTCCTAATTCCAGTGGGACCAGGACTTCACTCCCCCCACTTTTTTTAAACCAGTTTCCTGATTTTGCAGTTCCCAAGTCATATTTTTTTAAGTGCTTGGAGTTGGCAATAACATAAATGCACAGGGATTAGACTACTGTAATAAGAACCTTCAGAGGTTAAAGAAAACATTTGATTTCCAGTAAGTGGCATGGTAAACACATGCCTTAATCTGTTCCAAAAAACCATTAGTCCTGGAGCAGCAGGGTGTCCTTTCTAATAAATGTTATCTTTTCCTTTCATTTTGACTGCATAGATTATCCTTCACTCTATGCACAAATACCAGCCTCGTGTCCACGTCATCCGAAAAGACTGTGGAGATGATCTGTCCCCGATCAAGCCTATCCCTTCGGGAGAAGGAGTCAAAGCGTTCTCCTTTCCAGAGACTGTTTTCACCACTGTCACAGCATACCAAAATCAACAGGTAACTTGGTCTTTCTGCTTAGCACTTGACAGGCTTTTCAGAGTAGACTAGAGAAATGAGAGACCGGAAAAAAGAAGATATGTTGCTTATATCACCAAGAAGCATTGTCTAAACTGCTTGTTATATTACAAGCAACTTTCACTTGTAGTATTGCAGCAGCGCCCAGAGGCAGTAGCTGAGATTTCAGTCCATATGGGCTAGATGATGTGTATAAGAAGTAATTTTTTTAATGATGATCTCACAGTTTTAAGTTGACAGCATTAAAATTAGTAGGGTCTTAATTATAAATGTGGCACTGAAACAGAAGGTGAGGAGGAGTCTGAATTTTAAAGGTACTTCTAAATGTAGATAAGTGATCAGAGGTTCAAGCATTTTGAGCCTGACTCCAGTTATGTCAAAAGTCTGTCTGAATAGGGTGCCCCACAGTCTTAAGGGGGAAGCTGAGGTCTGAAAAAAGCTGTCATTAACTGGATTCAGCAGACATATTATTAACATATTATTTATCTGGGTCCATACACACTCAAAGTCAAAACTAAATTGCAGTTTGCCTGACTGCAGCGTTTGGCTCTTATTACTACTTGTTTAAGTATTAATATACAGAGTGACACTGTGTTTAGTGCTGTGATATTTATTAACTCCATATAACAAATTACAATATTTGTAATTTTGGGAAATTATATATGCCTTGTCATCTTTGCAAAGGGATAACCGTGTAAATAGACTAAAATAAATAATGAAACTTAATTATTTGGCGTATACCCTGTTTATTTAAGTAAATTACAAGCATTTTTTTTTTCCCCCGTTTTATTTTTTTAATAGAACACAACAGCCTGGTGATAATCTCTCTTTTCACATTTCCTTCTTGACCCACATGGAAATAAAATTTAATTTAAATTTTATTGCAATTAGGCAATGTACTCTCTTAGGTGAAGAATGACATTTGCCAGAAGATTTTCCTTAAGAATTCCAACCTGCCATTTAGTAGCATTAAATACCTATTAGCTTCTCTGGGGATTTGCAAAAATAATGGCCAGAAGACTTGGCATTATTTTGCTGCCTTTCAAAAGACCTGTCTATAACCATACAGATGGTAAGATGTTTCTGCTTTAAGTGTCAGGAGCTAGGATATTTCACTGTCAGAAGAGTCATTTTTTGTATTACTTACCTGAATTTGGGGATGTTAATTTCTTTAATCATCGTCACAGATAACTCGTCTGAAGATTGACAGGAATCCATTTGCCAAAGGGTTTAGAGATTCAGGACGTAACAGGTAAGTGCTGGGGAAGGAGTGGGCTTGTTGTTGCTGACAGAACCAGTTTGTGAAGGCTGGTAGTAGATGTCCTTCCTACTGAGAGGAGTACCTGTATTTACGGACAAATTAATCTGAGGACTTGGGCTCCCTGAGGGAGCACTTTGGCTTCCCATTCATGTTCTCAGTGGTGGCTTCCTGTTTCTCCTCCTCTGACTCTCTAGATCATGAACTGATTGGCACGTGGCTTGACACATGTACTCAGGTATCCTTTCATTGGAAACTGCAGCATGCTGTGAAGGCTGAACATAGAATTAATGCAACCTGAAGTCTGTGATTTTTGAAGTTAAGACCAGAGTGTGCTGCAGGACAGGTGTAGGGAAGTATGTACAGCCAAGGGAACTGTGTCACTGTGGTGCTGGAAGCTGTGATCTTTGAACATGGCAGCGAGCGTGTAGGTAATAATACTGACCTGGGCATGGGAATTATCCAAAGCCAGCAGACAAGGGTAGGGAGGGAGTGCAGCTGGCCAGCAGAAGAGGCTGCTCCTGAAGTCTCCCTCCTGGCTAGAGACACAAAATGAAGATACGAATATCCATCACCTGCATGTGAGTGGTGGTAGGATAGAGTGGTTCCTTTTCTCTTAAAGAGGGAGAATCTTGTTCCCCTCCTGCAGTAACCTGATGTTTATTATGCATGCTTAGGAGGCTGGAGGCGCGTGTCAAAGCATTTCTTTTGCTTAAAGAGTTTTAAATCCACTGCCCAGGTGAATGCTTACTAGGCTATAGACGACCTTGAAGCGGACCCGGTTTTCACCTTTTCTGTTCCAGTTGGACTGATTAATTGCTTGCTCTTTCTTGATCCACTATTCTTTCAAAATAGCAATAGGGAATCCGAGTAGTGCAAAGTGGAGGCTTAGGTTTAGTGTCTGCTGCCAGAACTGATGAGGTATTTTATGCAAAGATTGTTCAATGCAAAATACTTAAGCCTGTTACGAATTGCGTGTTCAAGCATTTCAGCTAAAAAAAGCAGCATTTAATTGCGGTGCATAGTATACATCAGTTCCAGTGACCACTTTGCATTTGCTGTCTACAGCTGCTATATTTATGATCTAGCCTTCCAGAGAAGTGAGCAGACTGTGCTCTGGTAGGAATGTTCAGAGAGTATCTTTTGTTGGCTGCTTTACTGAGCTTTTCTTTCAGCAGAGGCTGCAGCTCTAAAGACCATTTTGTTCTTCCACCTGAATTAACTGAATGCTGAGACTGGACAGCAAAGAAGATTATGTTTTAGAAGATTAACATTTTTAGAAGGGATGGGGTTATAAAAATTTATAGGAGTCCACTGCAAGTATCTTCACAGTTTGCTGTCCATATTTGCTGCTTTCTAAGATTTTCGTCTTCTATCAAGAAACAATTGGCCATACCCTATCCTGACGCCTGGAAAGAATATCCCAGGCCCTGGCATAAACAGACATTCATCCTCTTTTGTTACTTTCTATTTTGCATTTAAATTAGCAGTAACTTCCAGAATAAATAGAGTGACTGAAGAAGCAAAATTTGGTTTGTGTACTTGGGTAAGAAAAAAATTGTTCTGCATCTGCAACCGTGCAAATCTAGTTACTGTACTGAGGCTGTCCAGAGATGTTTTTTGGTTTAGCTTCTAGGAATCGTTTGGGTTCAGGCATTAAAAAGAAATGTGTTTTTGAATGGAAAAACAGTTATAGTCGATTTCTGTAAACTATGAAGCCTGTGTTGAAGAAGTGTGTTTTGGAATTGGCTTTAGTTAGATAAGGTCTGAAAGATTTTAACGTAATAAATGCACTCATTTTGGAAGTGTCTCTGCATACTCTGTTACAAAGAGACATTATTTTCCTGAAATCAGTATTGCTGTTTTCATTGATAGGCTTCACAGCACTGAATAAGTATGTTTGCGCATGCAGCTTAGGTTTCAAATTTTTGAGGAAAGCACTAGTTTACTCAACTGATTAATAGTTTACTCTGTTACCAAACACAAAAATTACAAGGTCTGCCGCAAAAGTAATGCCTCCTATTTTATTATGTTGACCCATGATGTCAGAGGCCAGTGGTGGGGATATGGCATTACAGACTGAACCTTCCCACCAAAACTCCATTGCATTTTGTTGCCCTGCAATAGATTGCAGCAAAGAGGCAGTCTGACAAAATGGTGTCTGACATGGAATTGTGGATGAAGCAAAGGTGTGGAGCTGAATTCCTCCATGCAGAAAACATAACACCCATTGACATTCATTGGTGCTTGCTGAATGTTTATGGAGACCAAACAGTGGGTGTAAGCACAGTGAGGTGGTGCATTTCAGCAGTGATGACAGCAGCATGAAAGTCAAGAAACCCTTTGGGTGGCTGTCATGCCACAAAATGGAGAGCATCTCAATCAGCTCACCCACACAAATTAGTGGGTTATGACCAGAGAACTGTGTATGGAGCTGAATATCCTTTTCAGTGCTCTGGAAACAATGGTGGCAGTGATGGAATATCACAAAGATTGTGCCAGGGTGGTCCCTGCTGAGGCTGAAGGTGACAGTTTCCTGAATTGCATTGTTACCAGTGATGAGATGTGCTGTTACCACTATGAGCCAGAGACAAAATGAAAGTCCGTGGAGTGGTGGCATAAAGAAGATGTTCAAGATGCAGCCCTCAGTGGCTGAAGTGATACACACTGTTTTTCTTGCAATAGGAAAGAAGTGATCCTTCTGGATTTCCTGGAACCCCGGTAAACAGTCAACTCTGACTGCTATATCGTGAGAGTGATTCTGCTGAAGGCTCCAACTTCCAGTGTAAGGCCAAAGAAGAAGACAACCTTTCTCTTGCAACACAATAACACCAGGCCCCATTACAGTCTCAAGACCATATAGCACATTGCCAGTCTTGGCTGAACAATCCTACCATACCCACCATATAGTCCAGATTTGGCACTTTGTCGCTTCCATCTGTTTGAGCAGAGGAAAGACGAACTGTGTGGGCAACATCTTCCTAGCAGCAATGCCATCGTACAGCTGTGAATCAGTGGGTTACCTTCACTGGTGCAGATTTGTATGAGCACAGCATGATGGCTCTTTGGCAAAAATACATAGATAACAGTGGTGACTATGTTAAAAATGGTGTTTTATAGCTGAGAATTTTCTCTGACAAATAGTTTTATTGTGTTCTTTGTTGTAATTTTCATGGAAATAAATAGGAGGCATTACTTTTGGAGTGACTTACATGAATATTAAGATTTCTGTCTTCATAGATCTAGCTGTTCTACTTCTCATCTACGCATTTTAGTTTGCGAGAAAAGTAGGGAGTGCTGCACACCACTATATTTAACTTTTCAAAGTTGCTTTAGTTATTGTGACTATCTTACTTAATTAAAAATATTCCCTTTCAGGTCATTCTCTTTTATTTCTACAGGCTTTTTTTACAGAAATCAGTAGCTTCACCTTTTAAAAGTGTTCCCTGTACATTTGCAAAGTGCAACAGAATTTATGTGCTGAGAATTGCTTCATTCTTCAGTTAGGCCGTACATTTGACCCTATAAAAACTTTTACTCAGGAAAGGTCCAGAATTTCTCTCTTTAAATGCTTCAGGAAAAACATAACTGTTTTGTTAAATAAACTTGGCTATTTGATAGCGCAAATTAGAGTGGTGATAAAATGTGGAAATTGTTCGAAAGCATCTTGTGTAAATTATCACCTTGGCTACACTCCTCCAGGAGGTGGCTTTTATCTCCACTTTAACTAGAATTGAAAATTCACCATTACTGCAGAAAATGAAGGCTATCTTTTTAGTCAAGGTTAAGCTAATAAATGCTTTATAACCATTTCCTGGAATACATTTGTGATCCTGCTGGAAATGCAATGTGGAAGAAGCAGTATCAGAAGAACTTGTTAGTCGCTTCAAATTGAGCTGTTTGCATAATTCTAGCTTACAAAGTTTTGCTGCTCTAAGGCAGGCATTCATAGTTGGTACGTACCTGGTGTTGACACTTAACAGGCCTTTGGGGCTCAAAAGCCAAAAATAATTGCAAAACTATAACTTGCAGCTGCATTATGTACAAAATTCTGCGAGAAAGCATACGAGCCTTTATTTTTTGGACATAGAGGTTCTTCTAAATATGATCTGCCTTGTCTATGTAGGTAGTTACTTTTGTTTTGTTTTGACACCGTTGAAGGAAAATTATTCAAGATCTTTCGTTTCTGAAGGCATTTTGCCCAGCGCCTTATGACTGAGAGACAACATTGCTTTATATATTCTAGTTGCAAAAGAGCTATACACCCATGCATTGCTCACAATGATTCTCCAACTCATCAGAAAAGACTGGAAGTCCAGTTTCAATAATTGTCAGTTGATCACCTTTGCTCTAATCAGAAATAGGAGATTGCTTCTCTGGCAATTAAAGCAGCTGCTTTTAAGGAAATGTCATGGTAGGAAAACCTTTAATATCATTGCAGCCAGCTTCACTCAAAAAAAACACAGTATTCCAAATAAAATCAAAATAGAGGAGTGGATTGTGGAAATGGGAAACTCTTTGCAGGCTATTAGTCCAATGATTGCAGATCACAACAGTCTTGTGGGTTAGCATGTAAGACACTTCTAAAAAGCAAAATTAACTTGAAAATAATGAACTTATTCTGAAACGCTGATTTTTCTGTGTTTTTGAGATAAAGTATACAGAGGAAAGTGACAAAATACAGCTTTCTGTTAAGATGCCATGCTATTTTTTGTTCTAAATAGAATGGGACTGGAAGCTTTGGTGGAGTCTTACGCCTTCTGGAGACCTTCACTTAGGACGCTTACATTTGAAGATATACCTGGGATACCTAAACAAGGTAATAGTCTTTGTGTCATTTCCAAAACAAAAGTGCATAAAGACAAAATTCTTAACGTCATCATTCCTTACTGAAAGCAAGATGAGTGTGCCACCTACATAAAAAGTGGCCAACTAACCCCACTGGCAGCCATTTCCTCTCATTGGAATTAATTGAAGTTACAAAAAAAGCGCTAACTTAAGCACTGTGGCAGTAAAAGTGTTAGGTCATAAAGATAAATCAGATCACACATGGAGGAAGATGACATTTACTTAAGGGCAGAATAAACTCTTATTTTAGGATTATGCTCTAGCTATGTACACAAGGCAGAGTTTATTTATGGGTGAGTTAGACTGTAAATATCAAAACTCAAATATGGGAATTATTTGTGTGTTTAAGATTTTAAAAAATAATAAAAAAAAAGGAATGAAAGAATAGGTGCTATCTGTCTACTGAATAAATACTTCTAAGTTTAATTGTGTTCTTCGGAAAGCCTTGATTCTTAAAGACCAATTGTTTAGTGAAAGTCCTACAAACTTTTTTTGCATCCTAGAGCTTGAAAATTTTGCTTTCTCCTGCTCTCTAGTCCATAATCTCTTGCCTTTATCTTTCCTATCATAGATAGTGCTGTGGAGGAGAGATGGGCTTTTAATGGCTTGTTTGGACACAGAGAGGTATCTCTGTACTCTTTTCTGAATTCTTGTATTTCCAGGGTATACTTATGCATATGTAAACCTCTCAGCTTTTTCTCACCTAAATCAGATTTGCTCTTGGTTTGTTACTTTTCCTACTATCAGATTTACAAACATCCTACCTACTTTCTTGATAGTGCCAGAACATCATCTGAGAAAAAAAGAAATAATAAAAGGAAAAAAAAAATACAGAAAACACACTGCAAACAGACTTTTCTCAGCTTCTCCTTAGTCCGCTCCTTTGATGAATCTTCAGCATAATTGCTTGATATGAGCAGTTAAAAATAACTTTTTGTGCGAAGTCACAGATACTTGGTATGAATATGGGCAAATTTTTAGGCAGAGGGTGGGGGTGAGGGCGCATTTAAAGGGTACTTTTTTTTTGGGGGGGGGGAACTGCTTTTTTTTTTTTTTGTCAGTAGAAAAGCAAGCAGGAGGCAGACTTCACTTTAAACTTACTTTTCCTTTTTTTGTTCACCTATCGTGAAAAACCTGTTATCTTACTGGCAGCTTGTATCTCTGCATCACAAGTGGTCTGATTGTTAATGTGAATCACAATCAGGAATGTCTTCTTTGTATGTGACTTTGGCCTGGGAGGCTGTAAAAGATCCAAATCCATTTTTCTACATTCACTTTCCCAGGAAATATATTTTTTAAGACAAAGATTTTCTTGCAGCTGGGAAACTTTCAGTCCTCAGCAGCGACTTCACCTTTAGCAAACAGTTCGTTCTTAGGAGCACTCAGTGCTTGTGTTTGTCATGTAGAAAGTTCTGATACCAGTAAATGAATATTTTGTCAGCAGTTTGCTGCCAGCAATAAAATAACACTGCACAATACACAGCCAGTGCATTTTATGACGTTGTTTTAGTTGTGGGATCTTCTGTCATTTGAGGTAAGGATCCAGTCCCTTATGTGGTGCTCTGACAGTGGCAGACACAGAGGGATGCTTTACTCATCATAGCAAGGGTTGAAACCCACTCTGGAGCGTAGCAACAACAGAGACCACACAAAATTCATAACTTTGAAGAAAGCTTACTGTGGTGTGGTATTTGGATGGCTGCATCGTTGCTACTAAGCAGTTCCCTTGCAGGGTCAAATGAAGAGTAGCTAGCTTTTTGGTCTGGAGTTGAAAGGCTGGATGTATTGAGTGATGGTCATAAGAACATAGCTGGTGTTCCATTCTAGGACAGACCATTTATTTAAAAACATGCATGAGCCATGCACACACACCTTCACATGTATGCACTTACATATTTTCGCACGAATTTGTTTCAAGTGTTTCACATCAAGGGTTATTATAAAAAACAATGGTCTTGATCTGTCACCTAGAAAATGAGCCTTTCCAACATGCTTCTTACACTGTCATATTCTCTTCCAGGAAATGCAGGTTCTTCTACCTTACTCCAGGGATCTGGCAGTGGAGTGCCTTCTACCCACCCTCACCTTTTGCCGGGTTCCCCTTGCTCATCTCCAGCCTTCCATCTCAGTCCCAACACTAGCCAGCTCTGTAGCCTTGCTCCTGCTGACTACACAGCTTGTGCCCGCTCAGGTTTGACCCTGAACAGATACAGCACTTCTTTGGCTGAAACCTACAACAGGCTCACAAACCAAACCAGTGAGACATTTGCACCCCCAAGGACTCCCTCTTATGTTGGTGTGTCGAGTAGCACAACTGTGAATATGTCAATGAGCGGCAATGACGGGGATGCATTCAGCTGCCCGCAAACTGGCTTATCTATGCAGATTTCGGGGATGTCTCCACAGCTCCAGTACATCATGCCATCCCCTTCCAGCAATGCCTTTACCACTAATCAAACCCACCAAGGCTCCTACAACACATTTAGACTGCACAGTCCCTGTGCGCTGTACGGATATAACTTTTCGACATCCCCTAAACTGGCTGCCAGTCCTGAGAAAATTGTTTCTTCCCAAGGAAGTTTCTTAGGGTCCTCGCCGAGTGGAACCATGACGGATCGGCAGATGTTGCCCCCTGTGGAAGGAGTGCACTTACTTAGCAGTGGGGGGCAGCAGAATTTCTTTGACTCTAGGACCCTAGGAAGCTTGACACTCTCATCTTCTCAAGTGTCTGCACATATGGTTTGATGAAGCCTTTAAGTAAAAGTACAGTATGTTTGGTGTCTACAATGTATTTCTTTCGGAATATGAAGGGACAATCAATGTAGCTTGTAAAGTGTGTGTATATATAATATGAGAGGAAGTTTCACTGAATTTTTGACTTGTTTGCAGCCAGATTATTCTCCTTTTTTGAGCTACACGGAGTTTTCTGTGGTGCAGACTGCTTTAGTTTTCTGGTATAATACACTTAGTTGTGTAACACGTTGGGACATATGCAACAAATTAAGTAAGACTTCCTCCCCTTTCCCCCTCCTCTGTTCTAAGCCCTTTAAAGAATGAAATGACACTTAGAGTATTAAACGACACAAACAAGCCCACTTACATTGCCTGTAGTACTAGTGAGATTCTTTAAAACGTTCATGCAGTGTTAAGCTGATGCACCAAAGGCATTTTACAATCTTCTTCTCTGTTATAAGGGATATGAAGGGTATTTGGACTTTCAAGTGTTAAGTATCAAGCATCCAGCCTAAAATAGAAGTTTAGCTAATGGATTATTTACAAAGTAAACAGAAAGATTAGTTTGCCTTCTCATGATACACTGTTTTTAGCTTATCAACGGCACAGCATTCTTACTAGGATTTTTTTTTTCTGCATTAGTCTAGATTTATGATTAGGAATTTGAAGACAAATAGTGCATATTCAAATTGTGGTGATGTGAGTGATTTAAGCGAACAGTCGAAGAAATGGCATTCCTTGGTACAGAATGAACTTCGGGGTGCTTCATTTTTGTCAAAGGAAGGGCTTGACGCATCTTTTTTCCATCATAAATATTGCCTATAAGACATTTACTGAACAGTAGGATATTCTAATGTATCTTTGTTTTTATATTTATACTTTTTTAAAGCAAATGCAGGTTTGATTTAGAAAAAGTGCACAGGACAAGAAATTCTGTTACTGATTTTATCCTTTTTTGTGTGTTGTAATTCCCCTCCCCCTCCCCTTTTTTTTTTAAATAAGAACAAAAAGTCCTCATTATCTCATAAATTGTATGTACGTTGCCTGCAGCCATTAGGTGAGTAATCCAGTTTGCCCACAAGTATTACTGGAAGCAGAACTTTCTTCTAGCTGCCTCCCTGTAGTGTGGCCAAGTTGGCACTGGGATTACAATAGGCAAAATTCCTTTAATAGTTTACTTTGAAAGGTACTGCGTAACACCTACCGCCTATTTCCCTCCCTCCAGGGAGCCCTCTGTCTTCCGTTCTTGTTCCTTTCTGTCATGGGGCTACTGCTGCTCTGTTTCTCAAACAGTCTTCGCTGTGGAATTCCCATCTCTGGTTTAACAGACATTCGCAAGAACGGAATGCAGATCAAAATCTGCTCCTGATCAAGCTTCTCCAGAGTGATGAGCACACGGGGAGATACTGGTCCTGGGGATGCTTCTGTCCTCATCTGTGCCTGCACCTCTGTGGTGTGCACGGCTGTGAGAGATGCCTTCCGGCTGCATGCCTGTTGGAGCTGAAACACTGAGGGTATGGAAGCGATTTTAATGCTTGAGAGAATGAGTCATCTTCAACATTGCTCTAAGCCTCCTCTGTACTATGCAGGTGACATAAAGGTGTCATAAAGTGAGTGCAAATGTAATTGGAAATGCTTCCCTGTTCAGCATTGAAGGAGAAAAAGGCCTTCAGATTTTACATTTTTCAGTGAAACTCAATTGTTACATTTTGCAAGAGTTCTAATGTCCTTCCTGGCAAACAGTGGGCTTAATGTTTTTTCAGTAGATTAGAGATAACGCATACAGAAGCAGCCCTCTCTCTATCTTTTCTTAGTACTTAGGGAAAGAAGAGAGACCACAACTAACTTTAAGCTGGTGCCTGGAGAAGGCTCTATTTCGATTAGTTATATTTTGTTTATGTTAAAGAAGACACTTAGAAAGTTCTCACTAAAGCTGGAAAGATAAGAGGGTGAGCCTGCCAAGGAGGAGATGAGTTTACTTCTTTGCTGTCACAAGCTTCCCAAGTGACCTTGTGCAATTCACTCAGCTTTTTTTTTCTTCTGTAAAATGTGTTAATAGCACTTCTCTGCCTCATTAGGAAATGCTGACTGTACATGAAAGGTGAAGATGATCTTTACAGCTGATGTACAGTGGGCAATACATTCAGGGTGAATGGTTGGGTAGTGCCCATGTGTGGGGATAACAAAGAGCATTCATGTACCTTGCATCTGTTGCTAGTTTCTGGCATTGCAGAGTCCTTTGATGCAGACCTACAATGCCAAAAACATTGTTCAAAAAACTCCCAATAATAATTTGTGAAATGGTTCTAAGATGTGTAGAAGATGGGCGAATTTTCAATGATGTGAATTGTCATAGCTCTATTGGTTTCAGTTAACAAGAGTTGTGCATAGTAATTTCTGCTCCAGCCAAAACTTTGAAATGTTGCAGTTGGACATAATGCTAAATGAGAGGAATGGTACAATTAATCTGTACGTGAAAAGGAATAAGCAATATAATTATCCATGTCGTCTTAAAGGCTGTGACTGTATAGAAATGTGGAAGAGCTAAGTCATGTGAGTTCCTACAAGGAGGAAAAGTTGATTGTGCATGGATGTACACGGAGGTGCCCCCAGCAAGAGTATGTACTTTGTCACCTGGGAATTTTTTAGAACTGTTCTCATATTTTTCCTGAAATTATTCCTTTCATATAACCGCACAATATGTTTTGAAACATTTGTTCCTTAAAATTTGAATCATATTGTAAATACTTACTGGTGTGCCGTTGTGAAAAGTCTAGCTTTTTATTAACATAGTAAATGCTATATATGCCTTATATCTATAATTATATATCTGTATTTTACAAAAATGACACAGAAAATATATTAAAGTGTGTATCTAAACACTTTTTTCTACATTTGGAAAATTAAGGGACTTAAGCCTTTTTTTTTTTTTTTCCTCCACATCTCCAGTAAAAGCGAAGTGACTCTGAGGTAAGATTTGAAACTCAAAGACACTTCAACAAGCTGCAGGGATCTAACTAGCCCATAGTCCTTCCATGTTTCAGCTGAACTATCATGGACACTATCACTCGCATGAAAAGGTTGGGGCAGGCGTTGCACAAGACAGCTGGCGCTGTAAGGAATAGGGAGGAGTGAGTACCTTGCCATGATGATTTTTCATAGCCCAATGCATCCTGGCTGCCAAGACAAGTTTTGCTGCCCCTTATCAGCCAGATCTGGGAAGTTAACGCTTCTGTATGACCAGGTGCTTGCATGAGAGCTCAATGCCTTGCATATCTTCTCTATGCTCTTACTTTGGTCGTTCACTCTCCCTTCTGTTTATTCCAAAATCCGTGGATTCCCAAGGCAGAGTTTACACCTAATAAACAGCTGGGTATGCTGTGATTCTATTCAGCAACAAGCAACATTTATCCCCACAGAAATACTGCTATCCATAGAGGCCTTATTTCCCATTGTACTGCAGTAAATGATTCCATGTGACATAGGGCACAGAGCCTGAACATATGATTGCTTTGGAATACTAGGGTTTCGTAGTCACTTAACACCAGCATTGTTGCAAATGACCAGAATTAGGGCAAAAGAAGTAGGCATGAAAATGCTTGATCATAAATATCAGGCGTCTGGAGAGAATGAGAACTTCTGTTTTTAATAAGAGAGAAGTCTTTTTTGGAATGGTGCAATCACACACTGAGAAGCCTCATTTCTGCTTGAACAGAGGGCAACGGGAGAAAATCATAGAAAGGAATGGCATCAATGTTAGCAAGTCTATTTTGTGAGCAGCTCAAGATGGGGAGCTTAAGTTATCATGAGAAGTAAGCTCACAGATTCTGTGGGTATTTTTTCCTGTAAAGATAATGGATCTAATTAGTCTGTACAGAAGATTGCTTCTAAGGGCTGAAGACTTTTAGAGATTTATATATCCATTTCAGAGATAAAATTACCATTGTTTCACTCTTCTGAATATGCTGTCAAACTGTCCCAGCATTATTGTTTATGTTTACTCAATAACTGCGATTATCATAAGGGAGTAAGTAATCTTTGTGGGCTGTCTTTTCACTTCAGCTGCCAACTTGTTACTTGAGCTCTTTGATAATATGACTGCAGATACACTGTTTCTCCTTGTTTTTCACACAGTGGTGCAGATATAACAATTTAGTATATGCAAAACTGCATTCAAATTCATGTTCTGCCTCATTTTCCACACTATTCCTCATTTGCCTATTCATTCAGAACACTAACATACCCAGATGACATGCAGTTTTAACAGATGGTGACATGTCAAGGAAATAACATTTCCAGAGCATTCAACTTGCTTTAAATATTTTTCATCAGTGTTGTTATGCTCAGACACTGAACAAGTATTTGTTACTCAGAAAAGGAAGTTTCCTATGCAGCCACTACTTTTGCACAGTGATACCAAATTGTCTGAACTGACAGCAGACAGACTCCAGACTGAGCAGTTCCAACAAGTAAGAATCTGAATCTTCTGCATGTACATGGAGAGAGAGATGGGCCTGAATTGTGAATAGTTTCTATCCATTGCTTATGTTAAACCTGAATCCTCTTCATCTGAAAAGGTTCAAGCTAAAGCTTTTAACAAAAGTTTTCTTTAACTTTTCCTTGCCAAATAAGCAGGTTTGAAAGCCTGTTCCTTCTTGAAGTATTGTCACTGTTTGATCTGTTCACGCTCATTATCTACGTGCTCATATCCGTTGGCTTGTAGAAGCACTAGATGAAGTTTACAGGGTAAGAGTACTTGGTACACTATTAACTCTTACCCTGAAGTGCGTTTCCACAGTAAAGACTCATTACGTAGCCACAGAGAAGTGTTCCCTGCCATTTCCTGCCTTTCCCCACTCCAGTTCTGCTGCAGGGATTGGCTGGAGGAATGGAAAGAGCAGAAATGGGCACCGCAATCCTACCACGTGCTTCAGCAATGTATTATTTTAATGTAAGACATGCGTGTGGTGTGGTGGCACCCATGAGTTTTGGCTCTGTCAGAATATATCTCAGTGCATCTCATGGGAAAAGAGTAAAGTATGACGTGAAAGTACTTGTGCTACCTGAATGCTGGGCTGCTGCAGTGAATGCCCAGCACCGACCTAGCTACATCAGCACTGCTGCAGTTTTAGGTATGCCTTGCTCTGATGTTTGCATACCACTGGGTTTACTTGGATGGTATAATAGGGAGCTAAGACTTAATTCAGAGCATATTAGAGGAAACCTGCACTCCAATGTGGCTGGTGATAATGCTGCCATTAACTTGAGAGAGTTTTCACCCATTGTGCTTTATGGGTTGCACATTTTCAGACCCCAAGCCATCCTGCCTTCTGTTGCTGAGTGCGTCTCCCACACAGCAGCTGCATTTGTACTGTTTTCAGGCACATTCTTCTGGCTCTTCAAGGTGTTCTGCAGGTGGATAGCTGTTAGGCATTTCACATGACCATATTTTGTTTTCAAATCCTGTCCTTTTTGAGCCACAGTCCGTCCCACACCGAAAGATAAGAAAGGCCTGAATTTTGGTATCCCTCTCCAGACCACTGCCAATGGATGTTGTGTTTGCTTCCACTGCAGATAATTGACTATATACTTCCCACAATGTTTTTATTGTATTTTACAAAGAAGAGCAATAAAAATAGAGGCTATATCGCACTCAAAGCAGTGTTTCCATTCCTCAGGCAATATTTTTCACTAACCCAAAGGAAAACACCTCCCCACCCTTTCCTGGTTACTATACTTGGTGTATGGTTCTCAGTAAGAAGAAAACCAGATGCCATTCTTAAATGTAAGATGGTAGAAACCAGAAAAGCAGAAATAAAATGATCTTAATTCAGAGAAATGTTCCTGTATTCTTTGAAGTGCAATATAGGCACTAACGCTACCAGAGGCATCTGCAGAGGCGCTTTGATGCATCACCAAGAAGACAGCAGTTTGGTAGGACTGTGTGTGTGTGTGATACATGCCATGTTAAAA